CGTGAAAACGTTGTAGAATTAATGTTGGACGCGCGCTATTTATTATGATTACGATTATTATTATTATTATTGTTGTTATTATTGGCATGTAAATGCGAATTTTATCGAATGCATGGCTACCAGTATGACTCTCTCTCTCCTGCTCTCACTTTATAATATCATATTGTTACGGTTATGCGCTAAGGATGTGCAGAGCTTGCTACAGTTTGACACAAGTACTGTTCCTTAATAGAAAACTTATCCATTTGCCACACGATGATGTATTACCATTCCGATGAAATGTGCACCGACAACAAACGATGTCTAATAATTCGTATGCTCGTGTTGTGGTTAACTAATTGAGAGAGAAATAATCTGTTATAGTGGAATCATAGCCGGAATGTAAATCATTTGTGTGAGAGAGAGACACAGAGAGAGAGAGAGAATTCCAAGGCGAATGTATAGGCAACCGAGACCACCGAATCGAAGGCATATGAAGCATATTCTTGATTCATTTTACCGTAAGTAATTGTAGCCACTACATATTCCTGACGTAATCCAGTTTTGCCAACAGCTTTTTAATGAGTTAAATTCCGCTTATTCTGCTTATAAAGTTTACCAATTTTCTTTGACAAAGTCATTATGAAAGCATTTCATGCACGTGAATATCCAAAAATCTTCCAACACATACATAAATATTTATGTACATTGTACATGTATCGCTTCAATGAACTTGAGTTACAATTCAGGGAAAAACCAGCACCGACTGAGTGACAAGAAAACCGAATCGCTTGACTTTAAATCGAACATTGATAAAATGTGAGCACATTCTTTGTGGGAGTTTGTTTGACCGGTCAATCGCTTCGGACTTATCGGATTCACATAATTCAATTGTAAAGGGTTATATATTTTTTTGACGCTGCCACACTGAAATTTGCAATGCACAAGAGTGCAAACGATAAAAACGCATACCATTGATGGCTAAATCCCCATGAGTGTGCAATTTTTGTTCTTGTTCCTTACGTACAATGCCCTCGAGTATTTTACATATTGGTCGAAAGAAAAAAAGACTTTCCTTTCTACACTTTTCGAACAACTTCGATTTGGTTTCGGATGGGAGCATGATGATGAAAGAGAGAGTACATCTATTTCTATTCAACCGAAAACTTCATGTTTGATTGAACAAGTGAAATGCATTGGAGAGAGAGAAACATAGCGTATCGTCAAGATAAAAGATCGATAAAACATAACAAGATCGAAATGGTCATGTTCTGCAGTGGTTAAATGGCGTCATTGCAAATTACAATCCATAAAATGTTTGAATTCCAATGAGATGAGATGGGTTTTAGCCATTTTTGTCGGCCATTTTTTTTCATTCTATTTGCTTCATTTACTTATCCATAACTCAAAATCCGGATGTGATAAATCGACATAAACCCACAAAATTTGCAGAGCATGTGTGTTGTATTTACAGTTTGTACAAATTTGTTTTGCCCAAACGGGAGTTCACATGTGTGTGTGTGCACTGTGCAGGTTTGTATGCGTATGCATGTGCGTTTGAGTAATGTGTACATGGTTCGAGGAACCCGGAATTATTTGCCAATTCAAGCAAATATTAACAGAAAATGCATCAATGGTATTAAATTTAGACTTTCAACTTGATTTTATTTAGCAGAGGAAGATTTCGAAATCGTTTCAAAGTTAATAGGATTTGTTCAGTTGATTTGGTTGTACATTGTACATGTATTTTCGATAGTTATTAGGTAATCACACTTCATGGGTATCAACATCGATACAATTTTATCGTTGATCACTGAAGCTGATACTCGTTGGATTTTCTCGTTTGGAAAATCTAACAAACGAATGACTCTCATTCCCTCCGCCTCTCTCACTCACAGGGATTCATTCACATAGAAATCGTAATGTTTGTGTGTGTGTATAGACCTGTTCATTTTTCGCATAAATTTTTTATCGATGAAACGTAAAACCAATCAAAGTTATAGGTAAATGCGGCAAATGATATTGAATTTTCCACTCAAAATCCATTTGATAACTTTGTGCATACAAATCACATGCTTTTGTGAATAGATTTCCGATTGAAAATATCGGTGCAAGGTTGCATATTAAACGTCAGATTAAAATATTGTTTGCGAATGAATGTGTGCAGATTTAACTCTCATAAAAAAATTAGCATGATAATTTCTCTATCTGAAACCAATGAGCGTCGTTCAAACTGATTTTGCCATATTCATTCATTTACGGTATTCGCAGAGAGAAAAATCGGTATTCAAGTGCTTCTGGCCAATTAATCGATTGAATGTCAAAACGTGCAAGATATTGGATTCGATTGAGGAAGTTTGATAAATGGTGAACAGACACTGACACCATCTGCTAATACTGCTGCTACACTTCAGCCATCGATTCGATAACATACGAATTTCCTTTGGAATATCAAAATGTGATCGTTTTGTCGATGCCATGAAAAATTCATTGATTACACTCTCGTTCTTCCACTCTGGTTACAGTTGGTTCGGTCGATTTACTGGAAGATTTATAAGGTAACGGTAAGAAAAAAAATGTACGTTTACTGAACTTTTCTGAACCGAATTGCACTTTTCGTATTACATGGCGCTCTCATGCGAATCGAATTATTCACGTGTAATGTCGTTGTGGTGAACTATGGTAGATGCGTGTGCGCCACTATACGGAGCATGCTTGTGATGAACTAATCAATTATTTAAATAGATTGGCGTCGATTTCAGATGAAGCTGTACAGAATACATTTACACATTGGACGTTGCTTTAGACATTCCATCGACGCTCATTAAATTTCAAACATTCTTTTGATTACATGGTCTGAGTATATTATGTCGATAAAAAAAATTGCTCGCAATGCGAAGCATTTTTCAAAGCGATATTTGCATTTTTTATTTCTTTGAAAATAAATGTTCCACTAAAAGTTTTTTTTTTCTAAGTGAAAATGTGACTTCCTTAGCTAAAAAATGCACTCAACACAGATGAATGACTAGATTATACAATAATGAAAAAAATTCAACTAACTAATTGTTATTATGATGAAAAATGAGAAAAAAAGTGTTTGAATTCTTTTAATTAATTTTCTCCCGCGTTGATGATGTTAAAACTTTTTTGCTTTGAGGAATAAAATACGATTGAGAATATAAGAAAAATAAAACCGATCTCACATCGTAGCACAAAAAATGATGATGAAAAAGGTTGTTTGTGTGTTGAATTTTGTTTTTCAAAATTAATTACAATAGCTGGCCAATCGCTTGTTATTTTTGCATACACTTCGCTGATTTAATTAATTATGATGCAATCTAAATCAATAAAGAATTTAATTTTGAAATTTTCTGATTTCAACACATTTTTAATTAAACGTTCAAACTCAAATGAATAAGATGAAAAAAATGAACCAGGCCATACTACAAACGATTTTAAATCTTCAATGAAAACACTTTTTAATTGCTCCAATTTTGCTCCTTTTTACCTTTCTGCAAACACATTTCTTTTATGCAAAAATTCCACTGAGATCTGTGTATTTTACTGAACATTTTTGCCAAAGTTCAACATAAACACTCATTTGATATGTGTGCACGTGTGTGTGTGTGTATTTGAAGAATTAAAGGTGAATTTACCAAAGAGTCAAACTAAAAATAACTCATTCTCACATGGTAACATGCTCTATCAAAGTTTTTTTTCTCTTGATTTTATAAATGAGTTCATTCGAATATTTTCTGAAATACAGGATTTCAGATGAAACCTTGTGCTTGGCATATTCAAGAGATGTTTTTATGTAGACAAAGGCCGTATGTGTGTGAATGAAGTTCGGCACAAAAAGTGGATTTCATAACAAAACCTCCATAATAACGTATTTAACGTGCATATTAGCTAGTCAATCTCATTTAGCTTTCTATTTTCTATGTGAAATGCATACACACACAAAAAACGACGTAACGACGTAATATTCCGGCATATAAGCAACATAAAGAATTCAAGAGTATGGAGAAGGAGAAAGAACGAGATATTGTCTGTGTTATTATAATGGAAAATATAGAGAGATTTGGGTTATATTGGAAAATATTTATTACGGATTTTCTTCGTGTTCTCCCATTCGATTTTTACCTTTTGTTGTCTTTATATGCCACTTGAACACGTTTATAGTGAGTTTTTCGGTTTTTTTTCCTTCGCTTTCCGCATGTGACATTTTCAGTTTGTTCCATAAACAGGAACACCCGTACGACTCCTTTCTTCATTTTCGTATTGCGTTATTGACCCTTTTCATTCAAAATAGAATCTGTTGTGTATCTATTGAAACACAGAGTTGACATTCAAAATATGTCGTACATACAGAGTGTTTTTTAGTTCTATTTTTTACTGCCTTTGATGGTATAGTTTTTCATGTGATCGAACGGAATATACATAAAGAGATAGATTGTCGCGCTGACCAAACCGTATAATTTGTTTTCAGGTCACGTTTTTTATTTACACATAAAATGAGTTTTATCGTTGATACATTCTGATAAAGTGACAGGTCGTTTGCAATGTTGTTATTTTTTCGCCTTTTTATTTGTTGATTTAAGACACATACACACACACAGAAAGAGAGAGAGAGATAGAGAGAGAGAGATAGAGAGAGAGAGATAGAGAGAGAGAGAGATTTCTTCATTGTGTTCGATAGCAAATGATGCTCCCGCTTGAATAAGACTATCATGCAAAGCGAAAACAAAAGAAATGTCTTGAAAATATATCATTTTTGCGTAGTAACCAGGTGACAACAAGCACAGGATAACAGCGTGTCGTGGTAGCTTCGAATGGAATGATCTTATGTTCTTATGTCACTAGTGCCTTACAGATGATTATGATTGATGGATTTCACAAAAATATGTTTGGCGTAAAAAGTTTTATAATTTCATGAGTTCGTAAGAACTTCTTACAAAGAAAATAATTATTTTAAAACATATTAGGAATTATATTACACATTTTTTGCCACACTCTGTACGTTTAGTCTGGGGGAAAATAACAGCACTTCTGTGTTTTTCAATTTATTTTTTTATTTCGCTCAAACAAAATTGTCAATTTTCTTTTACGCAACAAATTAAACTGCGCAACAATTGAAATTAATTTGAATAATTTAGCTTATAGTACTTAATCAAATAAATCACGTTTCATTTCGCCACAATTATTGAGTTAATTACGCTCAAATATTCGTTTACAAATGATGATGTTTGTTTTGTTGTGTCTGCTTTCATCACGCGCACGCAACATGTAATTAGAAGCGAATAATAACTTCTGGCTGAAAGTCAATTCTTGCCTATAAATCAAATACAATATATATAGAGAGAGGGTTTCATTTGATTGAAATTTTGTTTCAATATATGGTTAACACCGTTACGATTATTATATTGTGCATATATTGTATTCGGTTTTGATTTTTACCCCAATATGTATGGCAAGTACACCAATGGTGCCCGAAGCGATTCGAATATGTGCCTCTCCATTTTCATCGACCACAACTTGGTTGCCGGTACATTTGGCCGTGCCATCTAATTCTCCGGTAATGATGTCGCAATATGTGCCAGACGGCATGCATGTGAACAGTTTCGTATTCATTTCGATCGATTCAATATTGAAGGCAATAAAACCGCGAGTGCCACGGCAAAAAGCAATTTGATTACGATCATTGTCCCACCACGATGAGACTGGTGCATTGCCAACAATGTTTCGAAACTTAATCATATTCCGAATTTCACGCCATCGATGTTCGCATATCCAACCATTTTCACATTGTTCGTTGGTTGAGTTAATTTTTGGTGAAATTATTTCACCATTGACGTCAGCCGGTGGACCTGAAAGTAAAGTGACAAAATACACGCACGCATACAAGATATAAAATGTAATCGAATGCAAATGAGAAAGAAAGCGCTGTAAAAAACGTTGAGGCAAAATGACGTCGATGACGACGGCGATATTGATGAAAACAATTATTATATTGTTAGGAGCCGAAACCATCATACCTTGATCGAATGCAGAGAATTTAAATGAGCTCATTACTCGTGGATAACCATACGGATGTGCCAGCATGAATGCAGTCGCTGTAATATAGCGTTCACGTGATTTATGTGTCAAAATATTCGCATCATTTGAACGTTGATTATCATGGTTATCAACAAATACAAAGGCTTCGTTCGATGGCAACATACTCCATGCAGGACCCCAACTTTGTAACCATTTTAAATCGTTTCTACCTTGGAATGCTTTGCCGATTTCTTGTGAAAATCTGAACTCAGTTACTGCACCGATCGGAGAATACTCGGTTCTGTTTGTTGTTTTTATTGTGACACAATTTATCAAAGAATAAATAACGTAAAGACACAATGGAAAAACAAAACAAAACGTTAAAAAAAGTTGATTATTTTTCAGTGTCAACATAAAAACGACGAGAGAGTTGTAAATATACTATGGTGATAGCAAAAAATGTCATGTGAGTTTTTACTTATCACTTTAACATTTCGTCACGTAAAAATAATGTATATATATGGTACACACTTTTTGATTGCTTCGCCACCAAGATCGATGACTTCTTGATAAATGAATGGCCTGGAATTTGCTGGAAATGCCTTTGTGCTGAGATTGTTTAATCGACTATAAATTTCGTACAAATCATGTGGCCACATATGCTTTGCTGCATCGATACGAAAGCCTGCTACACCCAATGTCAGTAGTTCGTTCATGAACTCAACGATTTTATCGCGTGTTCGTCCATTCGATTGATTTAAATCGGGCAAACCTTGAATTGTTTATTGATGTGAAAGTTGAGTTAGATCAAGAACATTTTCATAGAAAAATAAATTATATGGAAACGATCAAAACATCATCAAAAGTGTAAGTTTCAAATCTTCTGTTTGCCCTATAACATACCAACTAATTCGCAGTTCCGAACTTCGAATGGATTGTCATAGTTGTTGATATTGCAAAGTGGATGATGAAAATCATTGGGGCCATATGGAATGCCCGGATATTCCAATTTATCAACATCGGCTGTTGTACCGGCGGTTCCGATAATTTTCCCTTTTTTACCCGTCATATGATTGAATACAATATCAACATAAATTCGAACACCAACTTGATTGCATCGATCAATCATCGACTTAAATTCGTTTTCATTGCCAGATCGTGTGATTATTCGATATGAAATTGGCTGATATCTTTCCCACCACGGTCGATTTTCGGCAATCACATTTTCCGAAACCGGACTCACTTGAACGCCGGCATATCCATTTGGTGCTAAAAATCGTTCACACTCATCGGCTATGTCATTCCATTTCCATTCGAATAAATGTACCATCACCGAACGTTTTGTCACATAGTTCGGATGATGGAACTTTTTCTCATATGCGTTTATTGCCAAAACCACTGTACTGATTAGAAATATAGCTCGATATAGCACTGCACTATTGATCTTCATTATTCTCTTTTACACAATAAATTTTAAACAAACTACAGTTGAAACCGGATTTATTTATAGAGAGCAAACGGTTTCAATTCATTCGAAAACTGTTGCTATTTATTTCAATTGTAACGATGATCAAATGAATCGATGTTCACTGCTACATTCAATAGTTGTTCACTGACAAAGTAACACTGCTTGCTCAAGTATAAATACGTGACAATATTCTCGTGCTACTTTGACGCACATTGATCAACAAAAGGAACTACTTAAGTGTATTTTATAGCATAAACAGTTGCTGCCTCCGTTGGTTCTGTTGTTCCGTAAACTAATCAATTGCTTTGTGTTTGTATTTGTATGAGATTATCTCCTCTTTACACTTTCTTCTCACACTAATTTGACAATTCGTATCTCTATGTTGAACATTTTTTAGAGCGATGTGCCGCACTGATAACCTCTGATGACCAATAAAATTAGATTTCCATGCAACAAATATGAATATATATAAAGAGCCAGTCTGTATTGCGTTCTTGTTTTAAAAATTAGTTTAAATCAGATGGGAAATACAAAGTTTGCCATAAACAAATAGCACTACAGCATTTGAAACGGTGCTTAGAATGAAACCGAGTCTTTGGCTTTAATTAACTTTTACGTTTGCTTGAATGTAGATTTGAGGCCAATTAAAGTCGAAATAAATTCTTGGGTTTGAAAAGTAATTTAATTTACGTCGATTGCACGCAAATTGATGTACCTATGTATACAATTGTACATCAAATAAAACACTTGATGGCTTTTATCTCAAATGCACTAGAACTCATTTTGTTTATGGTTCCGATGTTTGTATCAATTTATATATCAATATTGCCTGTTAAACTCCATCCATTTTACGTCAATGAATGTGTTTTTCGCATTTAATAGGCGATAGCAATGCAATTGGTCACCGCGCTAAAACTGTTTCAATGTTGTTTATGCCTAAATATTTTTCAATTTTGTTTTTGTCCGTGTTTTTCATCAATTTGTGATTATTGGTATTTTGCAATGTAATTGGTACATGTGCTGCGTCACAACACAATCGACAACCGAAGTGAAATTCTCATGATAGATTCCAAAAGTCGACACAATGACTCATGACACTGCCAATATCATCTACAAAATGGATGTATTTTTTTCTGTTTCTTTGAAAAGGTTCGTGCTTTCAATGAATATACACAGCAAATGAAACTGAAATTACCACGATTTGTCACAAACTGACATCACCGCCAACAACATCAGCAACAAAAATTCTAATACACTTTATATTTGTCAAACGAAACAAATCGATTCATGCCTCACCAACAAATAGACAACTTTTCAACAAATTATTGAAAAGAAAAACGACGAAGGCAAAAAAACTGCTTGCGAACTTCTTCTTCGTTGGTTTTTTTCTTTTTCAATGTTTGTGTATGTAGAAAATATAAAGTGTAAAGTTGTCAATTGCGGATACTGAAAATAAACGATAGAAACCCGAAAGACAGCAAGAAAATCACAATCGATATTTCCATTTGACGCACAAACAACATATTCAACAAACAAGAAGACATCGTTCTCCATTTTTATCCATAAACCAATATATACTTTTTTCACTTTTGTCATTCGTTCTTTTCTATGCCGTAAGTCTCTTCTTTCGTTTGCCAATTTTGGTACATTTTCTTCGGTTAGCGCGTACATATCTTGAATGGGGTGACAAAACGATTTACTCAACTGCATGATTTGTACTTTAATTCGACTAGCAATATCGACATCAGTTCGATGTTTAACCTGTATTATTATTGGTTGGATGTGTATGTACGCTTATGTTTTTCATGTGTTCAGTTTATGTATCACCAAACATACGTTTGGAAACGATTGGATGTGACAGTTACATCATAATATTTTGTGCCGTATTTTTTATTGGATATCTTTTAAATTGCCTATTGTAACAAATGTTTATACGGTTGCTTTTGACTTAATCGCTCTAAATCCCATTTTGTCGAGTGTAAAAACGCATAGACTTGAAATAACTGAACTAGAGATTTACAAAGTGGTAGAGAACATAGTGGATTATGTAACATATTTTATAAATAAGTCGAGCGATAATATGTGTATAATATGTCGCAACAATATAAAGTGGCTAGTTTTTCATGAAATTCATCAAAAAATTGATTTTTATTGCAAAACACAAATCAATTGATGTCATCGTATAGTCCGACATGTGTCGAGATAAAAATTATTTTGAGGTATTGAGGACACAATTTATTTATTAATAATTATTTTTATTTTCATTTATTTTACGTACAGCTCAGCAATTATTGTCAAAGATAACTGAATCATCTTGCAACGTGTCTTGAAAATAAGTAAATATTTATTGACTCATTTAAAATTAAAACTACAGAATGCCAGAATCGTCTGAGGTTGAGAATTTTTTGATCGAAATCCACAATATATAAATGTTCGATGATTCGAATGTAAGTTATAAATTTGTTGTCACTTCGACTGTAAAAACGCACCAAACTCGGAACAAAAAACATTTAACACAAAAGTTTTTTTCAATTGATGTACAAAAATTCTAGCCATTTTTAACTTCGAAAAATGTCGACTATAAAAAATATTGTGTGCGTTCTACTGTGCAGTCATTATTGTAGTTGTGGAGGAGAAAGAGAAAAGAATCTCAAGATCGTTCGACCTGGCCAAAACACCAATAAGTTATTACAAACGTAATAATTTTCTTAGTACACATTATTAAATTTATTAGAAAGAGGACAACCGCGAAGCATCTGGACGTAAATACGTGAGATTTACCTTACCGGAAAGTGCGGTTACTCAATATTAGGCATTATTACAGTGAATAGATTGGGCTACAGATATAGCAGTGCTATTTTCACAGCTCCTATTCATAGGTGCTATTTGTGAACAACGCATGCGGACAGCGGATTTATGATACAATTCCGAACGAAATGTTCAAAATGTAAATAGAACAGTAGACTTATTGATTTTAGTATTTTTTTGCATAAACAAATCAATAGGTCTATTGTCCGGAATTGTATCATAAAATCGCTGTCCATATGTGTTGTTCACAAATAGCACCTATGAATAGGAGCTGTGAAAATAGCACT